CTCGTGCGCACGCGCTCTGCTGCGCACCTTGGCGCGCACGCTGACGCCCCTTTGTACGTGCGTGCTTGCACGCCCATAAGTGCGCTGCTGCATGCCGGCGCGCATGCTGGTGCTCATCTACACGCGTCGTGCTTGAATGCCCGTACACGCGCGGCTGCACGCCCGCCTAGACGCCCGCATGAGCGCTGCTGCACACTTATTTGCCCTTCGGTAGTTTGGATACTCTCCTCTTGTGCAACCATCTAGAAGTGGTGCAACACGTGCCCATGCACGTTGGCTAAGCCCTTTAAGCAAGCCATACCATAGCCCAACTGATGTGCTCAACAGACCCCTCCCTAGTATAGTTCCAACGAATATCAGCACTCTGACAGGAGTAGACATCACCTATGTTCGAGGAGTCATAATAGCCTTTCAGGCCCTTCCCGACATCCAAATCGAGTGTCGTCTGCGCCAACCATCTTATATGGACTCAAGGTACCTCCCATAAAGATACCGAGCCAAAACTCCAAACTTCACTTTTCGCCATATTTACGAAAATTCCACTAGGCACCCCCTAGTGCACGCTGACAGCATCCCATGGCTGTCAGGGGGCCTGTCAAGGTCCAAACCCCGTAACACTAAACCACTAGCTCATTTTCTTAACCAATTTTGTACATGACCAAGCTCATCATCTCCCATGGCTGCAACAACTTTATGTACGACATCATAAACACATGTATAGCAATACCATATTCATCACACACACACACACACACACATATATATATATATATTCAGATGAAACCTATTGATATTACGTTGCTACTTTGTTTTTTCCTTTGCGCCAATTATTTCTTTGTGATATTGAACCGAACCAGAATAAGTTTGATTGCCAGATTCATGTTACACACAGACATTCATTTTAAATACTGATTAAAGCTGTTCAGATTCCACTTGCTCCTTGAAGGATGAGATTTCTGAAGCCTTTGAAGAATCATAAAATATCTAATTTAAAGAAACATAAGATAATGTACACAGTAGGAATATATGGGGACTTCTGGCAAATAACAATTTTCACATAATGCGTCGTTTATGACTTGATGATGAGGTGGGCATGGAATCTTTTGCTAACTAGGATATCTCATTAATTATAGACCATCAATAAAATTTAGATATAAGAAACATTGAGACCTAGAAATGGTTTTGAATATGAAAGTCAGGTTCATGGTGTTGCCTCTACTTCATTAGTTCATTCAAACCTGCCCCTGCATGGCAGGAATATCTAGAAGTCTAGAGCACTCTCTCTACACTTGTATAGAGTTTTTATTTCCAAGCCAGTTATGTATGTATATATATAACTCTCTTAGGGTAGTCTAGCGTTGTATGGAAATTCTTTTGTAACATTTTAGAACCAATACTTCCTATAGTTGGATTGTAGCCACTTGTTTAGATCCTAGTCATTCATTGCAAGGCCTCGCGCCTTTATAGGGTGGTAGCTCATTTGTCCACTCCCAACCAAGTCTCATAAAACATTCTTTAGATAATACAAATTACACTCAAACTCTCTCCTCAGGAGTTCAATGTTTTTTAGTCTGCAATGATAATAGATGAGAAGGTGAAAAATTGCTTCATACCTTACCCAAAATAAGAAATTAAATTTAGATATGTATACACTCTTTCCTCTCGGTTATCTAAATCAAAAGTTTACAAAGAACTGTAAAAGCAAAACATAAATTAAGCAAGCAAAATCATATTTTCCAAACTTAGTTGTAAAAACTAATTTTGATCAATATAGTTCATTACAATAATGTCAAAAGAGTAATAATAATAATTAAAAAATTGGTTGAGTTGAACATATTAATTGTAAGAATATCAAAATAAATTCATATTTGTAATAAAGAAATGAAGAAATAATTGAGTTGAACATATTAATTGATCTTGTAGCATGTGAAATATTGAAGAATTATCAAAATTTCATGATAAAAGTAAATACTAGAAGAAGTAAATTAAGAAGGTAAAAAGAGAATCACATTCAACTCCTAAAGATCTAAAATGAGATGTGGAAGATGGAAGAAAGGGATTATGTTGGAGAATTCATGGTGAAGATGAAAAAAGGGAATATGTTGGAGAATTCATTTTCTTGGTGAAGACTAGAAAGATTCAAAAGTAAATCTTTTGTCTGACCTCTATTTCTCAACATCAAGATAAACACCCTATGAATTACAGCAAAACTAAACAGATCCAATATATTCACTGGAATATGTGTAACAAAAAAAAACACTTACAAAGAAAAAAAAAAAAAAAAAAAAATCATAAAGTGGTATTTCAGTTGTCTTTTTAATAAGGGTAAAGTGTCAAAAAAAAAAAAAAACAAACAAAAAAAACAAAAAACAAACAAACTACTATTTAGTATGTGAATATAATTTTTTAACATTTGCAAACAAAAAGAGTCATACACACACTCAATTTACTTATTTGGAGACTCAAATCCTCACCATCCATTTTGAAACGTAAAAAAAATATCATTCGGTTACAAGGTCCATGGAGTGCGATGTGATTTACATGTACGAACAAATTTCACCTAATTACACCTCGGGATAATTTATTTCATGATATATATTTTGAATTTGTTTTTGAAGGCATATTGTCTTTGTCGTGACAAGGATCCTTTCCAACGCACTAATTACATCTAGGGGTAATTTATTTTATGATATATATTTTGAATTTGTTTTTGAAGGCAGATTGTCTTTGTTGTGACAAGGATCTCTCCGACGCAGGAGAGGTTGCAGGAGTTGTTTGTGTACGGGTGTCACGAAGGCTGGATCTTGTGCATAGGAGGAGGGGAGTATTTGAGTTGTTGGGTTTGGTTTCTCAAGCGGTTCAGCATGGCGGAGGACATGTTCTACTAAAGAATTTTTAACTGTACATACCGACGATCAGGCTGAGATTTGGTTACGTTACTTATGTATGTGTCATTATCCTATGAAATAGTGTTTTCTTTTCAAAATATTTCAATTGATTCATATTTAAGAAAATCATATTTTCCTTTTGTATTAACCGAAAAGACCATATTAAGATCACTTTAAGGGAAAATAAATAAATAAATTGAAGGAGGAGAAAAGAAGTTGGTTACAGTACTCCAATAACGACTTTTTATAGTGAAACATCTTAAATCCCACACTTGATTTCATGATTTGGTTGAAATATATATATATATATATATATATATATATATATATATATATCATGATTTGGCAATATTGAGATGAATAAGAGGAAAGGTTTGAAAACCTCCCTGGAGTTCCAGAAGAGAAAGGGAAAGGAGTTTACAACAGAAGACAGACAAATAATATTTCTCCTCTTCTGAAAAAGGAAATCTGAATAGAAGGGATATTATTAAATAATTTTCCTCTCCCCAAAGAATGAATATTTTGTATATAACTAAAGACAGCGTCATTATTTTTCAATAGTTTAGCTTGGTGCATTACAGGCCAATCTACAGAGTAATCAAGCAAAAACAAAAGCATTTTTTATTTGTAAAACATATTTTGTATATAACTAAAGAGAGCGTCATTATTTTTCAATAGTTTAGCTTGGTGCATTACAGGCCAATCTACAGAGTAATCAAGCAAAAACAAAAGCATTTTTTATTTGTAAAACATTCTATAATTAATTTATGTATATATTTTTAAAAAAAATTATTATAAAAAACACACCATTCCGCTCGCTCATCACGGCAAGCAGTTGAGATTGAATTCAAAAGCACAGTTGAGATTAAATTCAAAAGCATGTTGTGCAGATGCATAAAATTAAGAGTAATGATAGAAAAATCGAAAAAGAATAATTAATATCGAATTTGACGTGATTGGCCATTTTTATCCTATGTTAAACAATTATTTTTAAAAACTGTTTAAGTAGATGAAGTGAATAAAAACACATCAGATTCGATACTTATTCGGGTTAATTCATCAGTCTCCATATCATTATTCTAAAATTAAAGGATCCCATTCAAGATCATCTTGAGAAATTATTTTCAGTTTATCTCTCTAAATTAGATCACCAACCACAAACTGAACGTAAATTAGTCGGAATCATACAAGTAGCTTAATGATCAGATGATCGCTATCTGCACTCTTCACATGCATGAACATGTATATATATATATATGATATACAAGAATTGTATTCCATACACTTCATTTGCCTTGTAGCAATAGCTTTAGGACACCCTCCCAAGTCTTGACTGAATCAACAATAATTTTAAACACAAAAGACCTTTCAATTTTCAGAGTATCAAGAACAAGACATTGCATGATGGCATAAACCAAGGGGTCAAAGGAGCCCAAAAATGAAAAAAAAAAAAAAAAAAGAAGATGGTTGTACCAACGGATGAAAAGGCTTAATGCAAATACGATTCTCCCAAATCCTACCTCTGCTTCTCACATCCCTATATCACCACAAAATCCAAGGGAAAACCCCGACTGGAACGTTAAAAGAGACCGTGGGCAGCGAGAAACATTACCCAGAAAGAATCAAAATCCGAATTGTAATTGCTGTTCTTCTCTAATTAAGTCAAAACCAATAAGTAAGAATTTTACCAGGGTCAGGAGCATCAACTAACACATACTGGAGGATTTTATTATTATTATTATTTTTTTTATTTTATTTTTTCTTTTTCTAATTGGTACTTACACACGTCTCCACTAAAGCTTGAACCCTTGACCACCTTTTGAGAGGTAAGGGTCTGATACCGCTAGGTCATTCGTCCGTTGGTCACACGTATTAGAGGATGTTGAAACCATTTTCCTAAATTGCCAAACTATAAATAACTGAGTAAATTTTAGACAATGAATTGGTAGGGAGTATAGGTAATATGGTAGGCAGCGTCGCAATGATTGAGATGGGCTAGTATTGCAAAGTAACTAAATAAAATGAGATGATGCTTCATCTACCTTCAATACCATCAGCAGTTATCACAAAAGCAGTAAACTCAACTGCTCACAAACAAAGATGCAGAGACACTGAATGGAAAACATATGAAAACATATGTATTACACAAACTAGCACGTTAAATATAGGTCTGGACTTCTTGTGAGTCACATCATGTTCATAACAATCTCTTTTCAGAATCACCTTATTTAACAGAAATTAACAAATATGTTCCAAATAACATTCAAACCAAGAGAATACCAGCAAAAGCATTTTATGCCTTCTCCTTTCAACTCTTTAATGGGATACCTGAAAACAACATGATGCAACTTAGTACCACAAAAACACATGCGCACACACAGAGAAACTGATACGTAAATGTCACCCTTTGTCGATATAGATTTCAATACAACGTAAAACATCTTACTTTCTACCAACTCATGGTTCATTTCAATTGCCAGCTAGACTGGATAGGGGCCGTGGCATAAGCATTAATATGAACCAATAAACCAACAGATAAATGATAAGAAATAAGGGTGTATCACTAATCAGGATCCCTTCTTACCAACCATATCATTGCTGTTCATTGAGTGTTACCTAATGATAAGAAGAAAGGGCAGGACTAAGGGCGGAGTTCATGGGTGGGTTGGTTATAGCCACATATTTTCTTTCCTTCTACCAGTCTCGAAACATACAGCAAAATTTAGTCCCACCTACAGCAACTAATATCCATCCCAACTTGAGATTAACCAATACATGAATTAGTGCCCGTGTTTTCCATTTAAATAGACTAAGTGTTTCAAATCAGCAGTTCTTTCAATGGTATTTGGAGTTTCCTCCCTCATCCACAAAACACTTAAATTGATTTTCCCATATATTTTGCCATGATCACCAATTTCTTATTTTATTTACAACGCATTAAAACACAATAACCATATCAAGAAGCAAAAAAGCAATACGAGCTTCTTCTTCACTCTCTATTCCACTCTGTTTGACATCAACTTTACCTATTTCATAATCAATTGTATTAAAAAACTGCAAGAGAGTGATTGCTAAAGCCATTATAGCACACGGGTTGCCGTAGCATCTTCAAATCAAGGGGTTAGGTCAAGGGTTCAATTCTTAAACTGGAGTATTCAGTATAATCATCTATTAAGTGACGTTTGCCAAGAAAATACCTCATGTTCATGTTCATGTCCATGGCCATGGGAATGATCTTCATGGCCTTCCCAAGGATGTCGCCAACCCTTAAAATATAACAACATATTCAGAGAAAATATATATCAAAAACAAAAACAGAACTCACTCAAAACAAAAGGGAGTTATATTTGAAGCTCACCAATACTACAGGACCGTCTTGCTTAGCCCTGTACAGAATCCAAAACCTGAAACATCAAATCACCATACAATTTTCAGTACATATAATAGCAATGTGATGTGGGTGGGTGGGATCAAGTGCATGTTTGTAGCAAGACAAGACTGGACCGTAACTATAGCATTTCTCAACCAACTGGGTAACATTTGACACTCAGCATAGTAAGCAGCCCTGTCCTCGTCTCCAACATAATCTATTCTCCTTTGCTTACCATCCGTACTACACAAGGCTCCTTGTCTACATTAACAAGTGGATGTTGAACTTTGACAGTTTACAAGATAAAGGATACAATATCAGGGGAATAAACAAGAAAATGACCATAATACGCATCTTAAATAGGAAATAGCCTATATACTGCCGCCTATCCATTCACGCAAAAAGGGAGATGGCAGCGCTTAAATTTAACATCTGATCAATTGATTACAATCACCTACCAAAACCATTAAAGTTCTTGAAGCCAGCTTAAGTTGCAACAGATGAGTGACTTACACCACCCAAGGTCTTCAAAAGGGGTAATGATGTGATTCTATTTTAAATTCTAGGATCATTATTTTGAATTTTAGGCTGCACAGGGTTCAGAGAATATAGTGTTACTCCCGTTCTCTCATCCTACTATATATCCTTCATCCAATAAAGCCTACTTTTCCATTAAAAATTTAAAAAACCTCATGAGTACATAAATACAGTATTTTCCTTCTATAGCCGCAGTATCATCTCCAAAGATGAGTTATTAACCCAGTTCAACAGCCACTATTCTATAGTCCCAGGATCACTGCAACATATATTCTCATCTAACACTTGACAGCACTCTGCTTTGGGTTCTCCATTTCACTCCAGTTGCTTCTATGTCAAAGGAAGTCTGCCTGTGTCAAAGAAAGAAAAAGCAGACCTTTGGCTATACTAACCAACACCAAGATACACAGCATAATCATCAATGGTTAAGCAATTATCTCCTGCACATGATTAGATAACAACTCCAAGACATGGACAAATTTGCCTTAGGGGTCAATATTGAAATTAGAAATGATGGTATAATTAAAAAAAAATCACTTTCATGAAATCCCTTCAACAATTTGAATCTAATCCACAAGTACCTCCTCTATTTTATAAAGTAATTTATTCACTAAACTTGCATAACCCTAACATATGTTAAAATATTCAAAGCTTCCATGTCCTTGAAGGAATACCACTACTTACTATTTACAAGTCAAAAAATTAACAATCGCAAAACACCATCACATTCAAGTAAATCTATTTTCTATAGATATCATATCCCATAATAACTTGAGCTTCGTTCAAAGAAGCATCAGGGAATTCAGAACAGACCAGGGACTTAATCCCTTGCAGGGAATCCAATGATTCTCAGCAGACCACATCAAATGAAAACTTTACTACCACGCCCGTTTTCTGAAACTTAAGTAAGAACATCCTTGAAAGAAATTATAGAAATTTAACCAATTGAAGATTTTAGCAATGCCAGATTAACATCCTTAGGACTCAACCTTAAAATTTAGAGACATTTGAAATCTCATTCCCCTTGGAGACATTCTCTATTGTACCCCAAACAGTATTATTCCCAAACCCGTATCATTTTCGAAGAATCAATTTCGGTGCTTGACCAAAATCCAAATATAATGTTATGCCTGTAAGAATCAGCTAACTGTAGAGTGAATTAGACTGATTCAGTGAGGTTGTTGATAAAATTTAGTCCAAATGATCCTTAATGAGTCGCATCATAAGAAAACTGAAACCTAGACAATAAAGGAGCTGAAAACATACAAACCTAGAATTTCATTTTCATTCCTCCGTATGGAACGACTTCTAGATCGCGATTTGTGGTTTGAAGATAATAAAGAACATGAATCGAACAGTCAAAAGCAGACACAAACATGAGCATGAAACAACCATTGAAGCCAAATCGGATGAGAAAGAGAGAGAGAGCAATGGAGTTACCACATGATGGCGCACATGCCCTTTCCGGTGACAACATGCCAGCGCTTGGGGTGATGCATGGTCAAGCCGTTGTATGTTGTGCTGCGTCCACCTGCCCCATGGCCTCCTCCCATCTCTCTCTCCTCTGTTTCTCTCTCTAAAAGTCTCAATTTCTCCTCCAAATGTTCAGTCCAGTCCCAGCCCTAGCCTTCCGAGATAGAGAGAACCAAAAAACAAAACAAAAAACAATCTGAGACTAACGACAGGAGTAGTGACCCATTACCCAGAGCCGTTGGATTGAGAGTTCGAATGGTCATGATTACAAGTTGACCGTGTACCATTATAGTACTGTAGTGCTCTGTTTACTTTTAATAAAATTACTAAACACTTCCTCTGTCCAGAAATAAACGTCGCCTTTTGTATTTGTGACTCACACCCCACGTTTATTTCGGCACGGCGGAAGTAACTAATAGCAAGAGTTTTAACACTTGTAAATTCCACCTATGTTATTCATGGTGCACTTACCATATCGGTAGGTGCTTCGCACAATAATTTTTTTTTCCCTAAATAAATTCATATATTTACCTATTTATTATTTTTTTTCTTCAATTCTCATAATATATAGTACTGTATTATAGAATATTCCTAATCCTTATATTTCTGTTTTTCAGTTAGGCTTCTGTTTGTTTGGATGTAAAATATTTTTGGTTGTCCTAAAATATTTAGGAAGAAAAAATTTATTAAAATTTAACAAAAATAATTTATTCATAAATTTTCAGATTACATGTCTCGTTCGATGGACTCGACTTCAATCTCAACGTAGACCTTTGTCAAACATGGATAAAGTAAAAAAGAAAAGAATATATCATATTTACTTCTATAACAACTCCCTTATAAAATTCACCCGATTGAAGTAAAACTGGAGCGTTACACAGAAGTGATAAAATTCACTCTTTAAAGTGTTGAAATTTAACACAAAATGAGGTTTAAAAAAAAAAAAAAAAGTAAAAGTGCAAAAAAAAATCTTTGTACTATGCAAAAGTAAAAATAATCTTGAACTATCTGGACTTGCAAATCAATCCCTTATCTATATAAAACATTACAAATATAACCTTTTTTTTAACCTAACAAATAATATATAAAGTAAAATCATACCTATCATAAACTTCTTGTGTTTTTTTTTTCCCTAGTTTCGACGGTTCTTGTGGTGTTGGGTTGGCTATTTCAGATCCGTTGATTTTGTGGGGTGAGCCTGATACATAGGAGGCCCAATAAGAGCCATGCAGATCCGTAGTGGGCCTAGTTTGAACAATAACCTTTCATGCTCACTCTCTATTCCTCCCTAATCAAATAAGAGGAGAATTGAGTTTAAAAAATAAATAAATAAGAGGAGAATTTGTATTTTTGCTTCCTCAGAAATAGAACTAACTGCTGCTTTAGATCTCTCTAATAGTTTCTCTCTCCATTATTATTGAAAATGTCATATTATTACTTGTGTACTTATTCATTATATTATAATTTCGTATATAATTAAATTTAAACAAAAATAATGATGTGATATATTTATAATCCATGATGATTTAGAAATGGTTGAGCAGAAAATTCCTAAAACTGGATACCCTAATACAACTCGTCAAACTCTATTTTGCAAATGTAGTCGTCTTCTAGAAATATTCCTTTCCCAAATGTAGTTCATATTTAACTTGGGAAAAAATAAAATGTAATCAGATATTTTTTTTGGTGAGTCAAAATGTGAAAAATCAAAGTGAAATGACTGGATATTATTTCATACACGTATATGCATATTATGCAGATCAAGCAACAACCATATCTATGGCCTGGGTTCAACCATTATAAAACTATAAGCTATAGATCTTCCAACATTGCTACTCTCTACACATTAATAATCACACACTTCATATACCAATTATTATTTTCCAGTCCAATACTACTGGTCCTGGATTGGGTTAGTCATCTCCTTGCTCCTTGCTCCTTGCTCCTTGCTCCTTGCTCCTTGCTCTACAATTTAAGAGAGAGAAAGAAGAGAGAGAAACTGCAGCCAGACCAATCTCATGGCTTCTTCAACTACCAATCCTTTGCTCTCCTCAAAGTTTTTTGGTACCCAAATCTTACTCTCACCCCCAACGCCCAAAACCGCCAAATCTCTACCTTTTCTCTGTAAAAGAAAGCTTTTAGTACCACAATCAATTCTCAACAGAAAACCCAACAATTCACAAACCCTAAACAGCATATCATCACATGCCACTTTAGCTGCTCTACTCTTCTCTACAATCTCCCCACAAGCCCTAGCCCTAGACAGTCCCACCCCACCCACTACTCCTCCATCTGTAATTCAAGCTGAAGCCACCAAACCCAATTCATCACCCTTTTCCCAAAATCTGCTCTTGACTGCCCCAAAACCACAAACCCAGACCGACCTTCCAGAGGGCAGTCAATGGCGATACAGCGAGTTCTTGAATGCTGTGAAGAAGGGCAAAGTCGAGAGGGTTCGATTCAGTAAAGACGGCAGTGCCCTCCAGCTCACCGCCGTGGACGGTCGCCGAGCCACCGTGATTGTCCCCAATGACCCGGACCTGATTGATATTTTGGCGATGAACGGCGTCGACATATCGGTCGCGGAGGGTGATTCCGGCAATGGGTTGTTCAGTTTTATCGGGAATTTGATCTTCCCATTCATTGCCTTTGCTGGATTGTTCTTCCTCTTCCGGCGAGCTCAGGGGGGGCCCGGTGGGCCTGGCGGACTTGGCGGTCCGATGGACTTTGGCAGGTCCAAGTCAAAATTCCAGGAGGTTCCGGAGACTGGAGTGACATTTGCTGATGTTGCCGGAGCTGATCAGGCGAAATTGGAGTTGCAAGAAGTTGTTGATTTCTTGAAAAACCCTGATAAGTACACTGCTCTTGGTGCAAAAATCCCGAAAGGGTGTCTTTTGGTTGGACCACCCGGTACCGGGAAGACCCTTTTGGCCCGGGCAGTGGCCGGTGAGGCCGGGGTGCCATTCTTCTCGTGTGCAGCATCAGAATTTGTAGAATTGTTTGTGGGTGTTGGTGCTTCAAGAGTTCGGGATTTGTTTGAGAAGGCGAAGTCGAAAGCACCTTGCATTGTGTTTATTGATGAGATTGATGCAGTGGGGAGGCAGAGAGGGGCAGGACTTGGAGGAGGGAATGATGAAAGAGAGCAAACTATTAATCAGCTCTTGACAGAAATGGATGGATTTTCGGGTAATTCGGGTGTTATAGTGTTGGCTGCAACTAATAGGCCGGATGTTCTTGATTCTGCATTGTTGAGGCCGGGGAGGTTTGATCGCCAAGTCACGGTGGACAGGCCAGATGTGGCTGGGAGAATTAAGATCCTTCAGGTTAGCTATCTCTGTTGCCTCCATTGAAACTATTTATCCATTTGCTGCTTCTTTATATTTCTTACCAAGTATAGCTTTTATTGAATTGACATGTCTAAAACCAGTTATGCAGAGGACTATCTAACATGTGAACAAAAATTAGAATCTGAACTAATCAATATCTAGGTTATACAATATTGGCACAATGTATAGGTGTACAAGTTGTTAATTAATCTAAGACTAGATTTTACATAATGGAGCATGTTGATGTAATTTTATTTTGTCAATTTTTTTTTAATGTCAGCGATTTAGTTTAGCTGTGTAGGCACAATGTATAGATATTCAAGTTTTCAATTAATCAAGATTATACATAATGGAGCATGTTGATGTAATTTTATTTTGTCAATTATGTTTAATGTCAGCTATTTAGGTTAGCTGTGTGGTTCAAATTCGTAAACTGGGGGTTTATCAACCATATTAACTGACAACAGTATTAGCAGTCTGAATGATGTTTCACAAGGATTACTTTGTTTGAATTTGATGCTGAATCTAGTAGTAGGCTTACGTATATGACTCGGACTAGTTATCTTGGCAATGTTGGTTTTCCTATATCTGTTCCCTACCAGGGGGTTCTAAACATTTTGCTTCAATTTGTTTGTTCTAAGACCTTGGCTTAGGTGGTAGAGGAATTGGGTGAGGTTCACATGTAGATTCTGAGTGTCGTTTATTCAATTGATTCTAGTTTGAAAATGTTGAGTGGGTGTGTTTAATCAAGTGTGAGATTATTGTGGTTTTGTCCTAATTTTCCAACCAACTATTTTTTGTATGACAGGTTCACTCTAGAGGAAAGGCACTTGGAAAAGATGTGGACTTCGAGAAAATTGCAAGGAGAACTCCAGGATTCACGGGAGCCGACTTGCAAAATTTGATGAATGAAGCAGCCATTCTTGCAGCAAGGCGTGACCTCAAGGAAATAAGCAAAGATGAAATATCTGATGCTCTAGAAAGAATAATTGCAGGACCAGAGAAGAAAAATGCTGTTGTCTCGGAGGAGAAGAAGAAACTAGTAGCATATCATGGTATGTATAAATTTATACAAAGCCGTCTTCGGAATGCCTATTATATTCTAATGTTGTTTCTGAATAATAGCAATGTTTGTGCTCTTTATTTTGCAGAGGCCGGGCATGCTTTGGTTGGTGCGCTAATGCCTGAATATGATCCAGTAGCCAAGATATCCATCATTCCTCGCGGACAAGCTGGTGGCCTTACCTTTTTCGCTCCAAGTGAAGAGAGACTGGAATCTGGACTGTACAGCAGGAGTTACCTAGAGAATCAGATGGCTGTTGCACTTGGTGGAAGGTTAGTTACACAAACTCATCTTTAAATCTTAATCTTGAAATGTTCCTGAGAAGCATATACAGCTTTGATTGAACCCCTTTTGGTCTGATTCATTCTCTAATTCCAATTGGTTGACTTTATAATCTTTAGAGAATCAATATTATATTGGAGGTGCAAGAGTTTTATCCATTGTATGCTAGTCTGCCAACTCCACTTGCTATTTATCATTCACAACCATTTTCTCTCTTTTCTCTCACTTATTAGGGTTGCCGAAGAAGTTATCTTTGGCCAAGAGAATGTGACAACAGGAGCATCTAATGACTTCATGCAAGTTTCAAGAGTGGCAAGACAGATGGTAGAGAGATTTGGGTTCAGCAAAAAGATTGGACAAGTTGCCATCGGTGGACCTGGTGGAAATCCTTTCTTAGGTCAACAGGTAGGAGTTGCAACTGGATATATTATTTTTATCTATATCTATTTATGTATATAATGGATGCCGCAATTGATGTGTGTGTGTGTGTATGTGTTTCACCTGCAGATGTCGTCCCAGAAAGATTACTCTATGGCAACTGCTGATGTGGTGGATGCTGAGGTACGAGAGCTGGTAGAGAATGCATACACGAGGGCCAAGCAGATCATTACAACCCACATTGACATCCTCCACAAACTTGCTCAACTTCTCATAGAGAAAGAAACTGTAGATGGGGAGGAGTTCATGAGCCTATTCATTGATGGCAAGGCTGAGTTATATGTCGCCTAATTACTTCTTTTAACCCCAAAACTGTGTTGTATTACAATCTTCACATACATATGTACACAACAAACCAATTTTATATTTCAACAGATGCTGAAAATATGACATAGCTGTTCAGTGCAAAAGAACAAGGGTATCTCCCTCTATAATACATATTTGGATGACCACTCTACTCCCAACCTACATCCTACAGAAACCCAATCCGTTGGTGACAGCAACAATTGATGGAGCTATAATTATGAAAGAATAGTACAGTTAATCAGCATCATCTCATCATCTCCCACCTCGTTGCTTTTTTTCTTCTAAGGTAGCTGCCTCATTCAACATGTCAACAGCATCCTTGTGCATGTCCAACTTGGCAAGGGCAACTGCCTGCATATAAAATGCTGTGGACCAGTCTGGGTACACACATTGTGCTTGCATTGCATCTCGGAGGGCTGCATCAGGTTGATCGCAGAGGAGATGACATAGACTTCGCCGTGCATATACAGTTGGTGAAACCATTGTTCCAACATCTACGAACTGCACAAAGAAGCAAAATCAATTTACACCAGAAGAGGCAGTATAATTAATTTCTTTTTCCCTCACACATCCCAAGGCTAATAATACAAACATTTCGAGCATGAACATTTTTGCTTCTGGTCTTTTGCAGAATAGTTGTTCGGGGGTTGTTTAGATGGTTTATGCAGCAAAATGAAATCATGCGTAGGCAACTCCGGGTCCATCACAAACAACTTCTTGGATTGGAGAAATTATTTCACGTGATATCACCGAACCAGTTATAGTTTCAATTGACAAAATACTAACCTGAGAATAACAATCGATGGCAGTTTTAAAATCTTTATCACGGAATGCCAGATCCCCACGTTTCCGTGCCTCCAGCATATCTCTCATTTGTTGAGTCCACTCTTGGAAAGATAACTGTGCACATCACAATATCAAACTACCACATTTTAGCAGAGAATTGGAGGCAACTGCAAACTTAGCTTACTACAAGTCAATTACCTCATTGGTTCCTTCATCATCTTTGTAGTGAGTCATCACCAAAATTTGATGGATAGCAGTGAGGTCCATTCGTGAACAAGCATCACCCATAGGAGAAAGAGGGTGTTGTGGCGTTGGTGGTGCTTCCTCATGTTTTGGAATTCCTAACATCATATAAGATGGAACCTGAAAGCAAAGAAATGTAGTCTTCAAGTGCTAACTAAAAGCACGCCCTTCTACTAATCACATCTACTATATATATAGTAAGCAAATTATCATTCTCGAGTGTGATAAAAATTGCCCCTGAAAATGCACTTCCAAATGAAAAAGAAGAATCCTGGAGAGTGCTACATACATTTGCAAGTGTAAATCAACCACCATAAACTAAATCCAAAAAGAAGTGCAATAATAATAATAATAATAAATAAGTGCAATAATACTAATAATAATAAATCCAAAAGGCCAAAGTTGGGTGGGATGCTTTCAGCTTCAGTGAGTAATCTACCTATTTTGAATATTCTGTAGCACACCACACCCTTTTTGAATATTTTGTTAGTTAATGCAACAAATTGCCAACAAGTGGCAAAGCTAGAACCTTACTGGGCTAGCATAACCACCATGATCTTCTGGTGCAAGAAATTTAATAGCTAAAAGGTTTTCACATATGACCTCAGATGGAGCATTTGAAAGTTTGGACCATCCTTTTCCTGGTTAGTTGAGACTCTAATTGTTATGGATGGATTCTATAATTAGAAAATCACATGCACCAGATAAGCTAAGGGAGAGACGAACCTAAGACATCTAATATCATGAGGTATTGCTGCCAACTTGGCTACCTGTGCAGATTAGTATTTGAACTAGCACTAATTGATAACATAGTAAGCACAAGCGGCATTTACAACATAAAACAAATCACGAGGCAAAGAGAAGATCATTGCATGAATAAGAAATGAGGACCGACATTAGGTTTACTTTGCAGCGGTGAAAGGGTTGCAACAAGGTCTTTGGTGCATGGCCGCTCCATAGGTTCATATTGCAAGCATCTTGAAGCAAGATCAAAAACTACAGTAGCCTCTTCAGTTGAAAATTTCCCCTCCAAATGTGAATCCATTAATAGAAGAATGTTTTTGCCCCGTATCATATCAAGAGCCTGCACACAAACAGAATACAAGATAAGTAAACCGAAATTCCCATGACTCATAGCAACTATACAGTGCTCCATCCAGTGGCTAGTAAAGGTAGCAATCAGTGACACAACTAACACGGATGTTATTTACGCATTTGATTCTCCATAGCATCTACATAATAGAAAACCAAATACATTTTATCTGGAATCAACAGCATTCATCGTTACAATCCTTTCGTCCTAACTATTTATGGTTGACAACAATCAACCCATTCAGTTGTTCACTAAAAAGCTTGACATTAAAAATAATAATAATACTAAGTGATGATGACACTGATTCTCAAGTCCTGTGAACTTGACCAACTCGCTAAAGTAAATTGACTCAAACCAACCCAATCTTGACAACTCAGCACGAGCTTGAGTCTATCTGATCAACCATCTCCACACAAGCCATTTTGCTGATATATAAACCTCAATATAAAATAATATTTCCTGGTCCCACATTCTCTATATAAATGTCGAAAGGCTGTATGACAACTGACAAGGAATGATGGAAATAACGCGTCCAAAACGACTTTTAACCTCAAATACATTACCATCCATTCAAAACTAAAACAGTCAGTTTAAAGTGTAAACAGGCTTAAAGAACCAAGTTTACTGCTACATTGAACCAGTAAACTCTTTGTAAACAGCATTTGACTTGGAAGCTTCCTGGACAAGGTATTAGATAAAAACCAAGAGTGAACGGTAAATATAAAGAACATTTATATTATTGCCCTATTGGAGTGGAACACGAGTTTTGCTTCAAGGTGGTAGACTCCAAACATGAGATCATGGGTAGATTTTGGATTGGGATCATAGTTACTAAGAAGTAGGCTAATGTTGATGTCAAAATGGATATTATTCCTCTATTCCCTAGGTTTTATTAGTTGGCAATTGGCAGTTGGCACTGAGTTGCCCCAAAACAGAGAGGTGTCAATGCAGTATGCATTCCTGATGCTTAGAATATGGTCCTAAAATTACCAAACTGAGGAAAAGCTCCTGGGAAGAACCTTAAACACAAAAGCAAAGAAAAACATTTCCTCTTCCTCTTATAATTAGGCTATGAAGTGTGAGAATCCAATCCATTTCTCAGTTTCTAACCAGAAATCCTTAGTTCATGTTCTGAAATTAATAAAAATTATAGATATCCATTATACATTATGCTAAATCATGATTCATAAATGTTTAAAAATCCAAATAAACAAAGAAACAATAGAAGCCATAAAATTATGCCCCGAGAACATGTAACTTATGTTATATAAATATGCAAATGAATTTTTATGTTAGATCCAGGTCATAAACAATTTTTTTGAATCAGTCTAGTGGAATGCTACATTATTGCTACTTCTATGGAATTAAACATGCAAAATTAAATTCTTGAGATTTAAAAAAAAAAGTATTTTGCATACCAGCTCAACCAATAAATCTCAGAATGATTGATTTGGGATATCTAACATCCTTTTAAAACTAGTAGCTAGGACAAGGGATGAATATTCAATAAATCCTGAACTTCGCCCTGAATCTATAAATTCACCAGCCTTAGTTTCACATACATCAGCCATAGCTATTGATGATTATACTCTAACCCCTCATGATTTGAGGAGGGGGAAAAAAATAACAATATTAGCAAATTGAATTTAGCTATATTCTCTTAGTGGGAAACATTTGAATTCCAACATTATCAGAGCAAAAACAAGTTCTTAAATGAATATTCTTTTCCTCCATAGTAACTCCTCTGGTTTATCCTACTGAACATCTGCACTAAAACTAGTAGTCTCATAATCAGAGACAGAATACATAACGTTAAATAATACTTACATGATTTGGAGGGATGGGCTTTCCACTGAGAAGATCCAGAAGGACAGTCCCATAGCTGAAGATAACACTTTGCGAAGTGACCCTTCCTACAACAGATATAACATAGGTATAGAGGAAGTATTAGTAACATGAAGTCACTATGCAAACCCACAGCAGCTCTAACACAGAATAACCTGCATTATAGTAAATTGAGCACCATTGTTCAATCAATCACTCTCAGGGTTTTCCTCAACCACCACAAAGTCCCAAGTGCAGAGGATGAAGTACTAACAAACAGAAACTTCCATCCCACATTTACTTGAAAATTGAAACAGCAGGGGCCATGCTGGAACTCCAAAGGCAGTCATAAAAAAGAGAGAACTCACTAATGGATTTGGAGCCAGCTAATTTGTTAATGCTTGACACATAATTATAATGATCAGTAGTATCTTATTCCTAGGAACTGCCCTTTTCAAAAATGCATAATTTATCATCATAACATATTGGTATGAATAGAAGGTACATAAACGTCTCAAAAGGTTTTTTTCCCTGGCAAATAAAACGTCTCAAAAAGTTACAATATGACTACTATATAATAAATTAACACAAATAGATTTACATAAGCAAATAAAGATAATATGAGAAGAATTACCATTTTTTAAATACTCAGGAGGTGTATATGCTAGATTTGTGCTATAACTTTTGCCATCCCTGCTATTTTTTATCAAACCAAAACATGAAAGCCGTGGATCGCCATTCTGCAAAAGCCATCCACAGATTCTCCAGATGTTATTGTCTTAATGCATCTACATATACATTCAATAATAAACAAAAAATATAATCTAATGTGGTAAGTCAAAGAAGATTCATTACAAGACCTCATCAAAGAGAATTCTATATGCGTTCAAGTCATGGTACAATGAACGGCCTTCAGTGCTACAATAATCCAATGCTTCAGCAACATATAAAGCAACTCTTAACCGCATGGCCCACTCGATGGTTTGATTCTCCCCTGTGGAGGAAGTAATGAAGTGAATTTAATATTTCGAAACAGAAGAACAAAGTTATGCAAATGAACTAGCAAGAACATCAAGGTGAAATTTTAGATATCTAAGAAGCACGGACACGGATACGACACGGCGACATGGCAAATCCAAAAAAATTAGGACACGGACACGGCGAATAGTATATATATATATATATGATGTAGTACTTTAAAAATTACTGAGTGTTACTATTTTTCATCAACCTCACAATGAAAAAAAAACACAAATCATAACTCATAACTAATAAACTATAAAAGAACAATGTTGCAGAGTTATAAAACCAAATAAAAACAAGACATTAGAATAATAACTAGTACCATTTAATCATCATTGCAACTTTACTCCAAATACAAAAGCATAGACAAAAAGGGCTATTAACATTCATGACTTTTAACATTCAGGACTTTACTGTTAGCACTTAACATTCACAAAAACCTAAAGGCTAGTCCCCAAAAAAGATACAAAAACCAAGTCAGTGTACTATAATCTATTCCCATCCATCATTTGACCTAGGACTTTTACCATTTACAATACCAAAAGGGTAGTAAAAAACAAAAAAATAGAATATAGCAGCATTCAAAAAAAAAAAAATTTCCAGAAGTGTCTGTGCCGTGTTCGTGTCCGTGCCGTGTCCGAAAATTAAAAAAAAAAAATATATATTCCAGACACATTTTTTGGCGTGTCCAACACGTGTCGGGGCATGTCCGACGCGTGTCCGTGTCGGACGCGGATTCTTCGCCCATTTTGGAGTGTCCGTGCTTCCTAGTTAGATATCCTTCAATTGGATTATAAAAGGTAAGATCTTATAAGAACAAGCTATAAATGGAGTGATGATCTTTGGCAAGCTGGAAATTTAAGACCTAATAGATGTTTTCAACCGCAAGAAAGAGAATGGAAAGAAAAACACAGATAAGGCACTACCACAAGCATAATGAAGATTAAGGCCAAAAAACTGCATATCTCTTCCCAGTCCAACACTCTACATACCATAAATCGTGGCTTACCTTATAGTCATTAAAAGGAAGAATAAAAAATAAAAAACAGTCAACAACATCTCGAAGTATTTCAGTGTCATCTTGTCATCACCACTTTGTCAGTTTTATCTTTGGGTTTTCTAAAATAGATCCTATATATAATATATCTGGTATTTATGCAGTTTATTTTAAACCCTTCAATTTCTATATCTCCTCTTTCTACGTCTAACTTAGAACTAAAAATACACCAACAGATAACAAAAAGAACATTTTTAGTTGGCAATGTGTGTGTTTAAGCTTATTGTTTAAATAAATTTTGGATGTTTAAACAAGTTGAGTTTCAATCAAATGAGTATGAACTATGCAGGCAATTTTGATCCTCAGTTTCAACTGGTTATGCAATTTTGAACCCTCTCCAAACCCCGCCACTATCCCTTTTTTTAACTATCAAGAATCTTCTCCAACCACCTGATTGGTTGCATATATGTTCTTATTTCTCGTGTTTGGGAAGATTTAGTTTACTTTTGCTCTGTTGGTGCGGATAGTAAGGGAACTCATGCTTCGAATCAACTACTATTGCCATAGGAAGCTAATCCACCTCAATTGGTCATTCTTAATACCAGAGGCGAACGAATCTCACATCTACTATCAGAGCCAAGCTTCTGATCTGCCTAAGAAACCTATGAGCTACAGGAAATAGAGGAAAGGGTGAATCGTGCAGAATCAGAAATCGCAAAAATGAAGGAAGCCTAGCAAACATTGACTGGCCAATTTGACTCCTTTAATCAGTCATGTGAGTGATGCTTAGCTGATGTTGGCTACAAATCTGGGGTGCTGTAACTTCCGTTAGTGATTTCTGTTGATGAAAGTAAAAGACAGGGAAGAGGGATAGCGCAAACCATATATGCTCAGGTTTCTTTCCTCCAATTTATGGAACTTACCCAACAGATTGGGTGTAACCATCAATCTGCTCCACAGAATTAATGTATTCTTCTCAAGTACTATCACATGCAGGAGATTGCCTCTCAATGGTCGGGGATAAATCACAAAATTTACAGGGATGTAACTTGGAAGGAGCTGGTGAGCACTTTTACGTATTTGATTTAGTCCAATTGACAATGACGCTTTGACTGTGATCCGGCCAAAATTGGCCAATAGGAAAGGTGATTGATATCAGCAGAAGTTTGAAAAAACTAGCTAATCAAGTAGATGGGTGGACTGAGAAGGAACTCATTGGCAGCTTCATTCTTGGATTGTAGGATGACATAGGCCCAGAGGTTCAGATGTTTCAACAAACATCACTTTAGGCTCTAGCAGGCTTTTAAGTTTTATGTTAGTACAGCAACAAAAAATTAATTTGAAAAAGAAGCAAAACAAGCCAAGATAACCCCATCTGAAAGAGTAACAACCAACATCTCAGAGTGGTCTGTTACTCTGGATATCCGGGTACAATGGGCAAGGCAGTGCACAACTTGACCAAATCCCCCACAGTAAAGAAAGCTTTCTAATGCAAAAATGAAAGAACACAGTGACCAAGGAAATTGCTAAAAGCTATAATGAGATATTTGTACCTGGTCAACAATGAAAATATATCCAAATATATGTTCTGGATGGTGAGCAGAAGGATGATGAACAGGAAAAGCAAGAATCTGACCTGGAAAGATTTAAAACCCCTGCTGGTGAAACCCCAAATGAAAAATGAGGATAACTGCTTGGATGAAACACCAACAAAGGAGTGTGCTTATCAATTCAGGAAGTACTACAATTTGATGTCCGTTGATACTACTCACCAATTGGAAGTACAAGGTGCAATTAGGCAACCTTCTCATGTGTAGTGGCCAACAAAAATAAACTCAAGTTCCAATGCTGCTGTGAGCAGGTCGAGATCTTAATAAACAATTCAGAGTTCATTATGAATTTTGTTTGTTGTTCTTTTAAAGCTGGCAGATATGATACTTGGCCTTCAGCGGCTGAAGACATTGGTGGAGTACTTCAAGATTTTTGAAAGGTTAACCATGAATTTTCCTACCAGGATATGATCGTGTTCTCATAAGAATTTCAAAGAACTCAATCCAATCAAATCACCTTCAGAAATGCAGCAGCTACTCAGACAAACACCCATTGCGCATGTGGGCACATATCTGTCCTACAACCAATCATGATCAGAGCAATCCATTTCTCACAGATCTGATAGCAATACTGAATGCTTACCAAGAAGTTGGGCACAAATCTGTCCTACAACCAATCATGATCAGAGCAATCCATTTCTCGCAGATCTGATGGCAATATTGAATGCTTACCATGAAGTTTTTGCAGAACCCCAATAACCACCTCCGCACTACTCACAAGACCACCAAATTCCATTGAGTCCCAGTGTGCCTCCAATAGATATAAGATTTTATTGTTTCTCACATATCTGAGAGGTTGAATGCTGGTATCATATGCCAAATTTCCAGTCTGTATTCATATTCGGTACTATTGCTTTGTAAGAGACTGTGCGTCAATTATAAGGGCTTGAATCAGGCAACCATTATAGATAAGTTTCCATTCTTGTCATCGACAAAAACCTAGATGAACTACACCGTTCTTGTTTCTTTTCTAAATTAGACTTATATACTGATTATTATCAAATCTGGTTCACGCAACCTGATATTCCAAAGACAACATTCAGAAAAAGTAGGGGCACTATGCATTCTTGGAGATGCCTTTTGGGCTCACCAACACTCCTTCCATGTGTCGAAGTTTGATAATGATGAATCTAGACCGTATCTACAAGAAATTGTGCATACCTTATTTTGCGAGTAATCACCCAAACAGTAAGTCAAGTGGCTGCCATTGGCCTAATTGCAGGATAATACCACTTAGTATGCATCTACTACTACTACTACTACCATTCATCTAGTATTGTGCATGGCAGTCCGACCCCAATACTACAGGCATAAAATGCTAGAGAATTTGACGTAAATTGGATTGGGCATAATTTACAGAACAGAGACCATGCCTTGAGAAGTTTGAAGCGCCATTTAACCAAAGCTCAAGCAAGGTTGAAAGATTGAGAGGGTAAGCATCACACAAATGGAGAGTTTGAGGTAGGCTTTGGTTTCAATTATTATCCTACAGGCAAGCCTCTATGGCAGCTCATTCCAATATGAAGGCGGCAATAAAATGTGTCTGGCCTTTTCAAGTTTTGGAACAAATCGAACCAGTTGCATGGCTTGACTACTGGATCGAATATTCTTTTCTGTACTTTATGTCCAAGGCACAAACGAAGAGCGGTTTCTCCCAGAACCTGAAACCATAATGGATTACTGCCTGGTGAAGTTAAATAACTGTGCTGTCAGCCTGTCACCAATATACTTGTGAAGTGACCAAACCTTCCATAAGAAGCAGCTTCCCTAGAGAATTTTAACAGCTTATGGCGAGGTTTCCATCATTCAAACCATAAAAAAAAAAAAAAAAGGATTAAGTAATACTAATAGCCAGTAGCTGTTTGGATAGTTTTTTTAGACAAAGTTAACCCTCAATGTGAGTCTTTATTTTTTTGGTACCAATAATTTGAAGAGCAATGCTATTGCGAGAGCGCTCTCGCAAAAAGTCTAAAGAGCTCCAGCTTATAAGCCACACGATTCCATTTTGAGTAATGCTATTGCAAGAGCGCTCTCGCAAAAAGTCTAAAGAGCTCCCGCTTATAAGCCACACGATTCCATTTTTAGGGATTTGGGAGAGAGAATTAATTATAAAAGAATCTTTGCAATAAAGAAACAAATAATTTTTTCTCTCTCTCTTCTCTCCACGTTCTCTCTTTCTTTCTCTTGGTTAACACCCTCAACCAATCTATCTCTTTCTCTCTCTTGGTTAACCCTTAAAGAGTCTGTCTCTTTCTCTCTCATAGTTAACCCCTTGTCTTTCTGTCAAAGAGTCTCTCCACCTGCATTCTATCCTTGGTTTCTCTCTCTCTATGCCATCAATTCGGTTACCGAAGATAGGTGAGACTTTGTTTTCTTGAAGGTTTTATTTTCTCTAAGTTATGAATCAAAAGATCCTCAAACAGATTAAGTCGTTTCCATTATCTCTTGATGAAGAAAAAATTACGATGGATATGAAGGAGGGGGGTGGAATGGTGTTTTAATTGTCTTCTTTTGGGAAATTACTGTATAAGAATGCTATCAACGCTAATGACTTCCATTTTTAATCTACACAAAAGTAGAATCAATTGATAAGATGTTTTAAATTAAAAATGACAATTCAATAAACAATGAAATAGCCATATACCGTCTAAATTATATCAAGCAAACACATAATAATAAAACAAAAATCTAATATTTTTTCAAGAAATTAATCATATGACATGTTTCATAACTTATTCAATTGTTAAGTATTTCCAACTTTAAGAACTAAATGAAAAGGTAAAGAATCCAAACCCTTTCATAACTTATTCAATTGAAAAGGTAAAGATGACATTATTTTTCCGAGACTCTTTGACAGAAAGACAAAGGATTAACTATGAGAGAGAAAGAGACGGACTCTTTGAGGGTTAATCAAGAGAGAGAATGAGACAGATTAGGTGATGGTGTTAACCAAGAGAGAGAAAGAGAGAACGTGGAAAGAAGAGAGAGAAAAAAAGGATTATTTGTTTCCTTATTGCAAAGGATTCTTTCTTAATTAATTCTCTCTTCCAAATCCCTAAAAAAGGAATCGTGTGACTTATAAGAGGGAGCTCTTTAGACTTTTTGTGAGAGCGCTCTCGCAATAGCATTACTCTAATTTGAATAGGCTGGTATGCTCAATAAATTATACTCCAAGTAACAAAAAAAAGTGTCCATCTTTCCTTTTTGGGTTGCCAAAATACTTGTCGCACTTAAATAGCTCAAACAAAATATGTCCTAGAAGTTTTAAAAATTTTCAAACTTGATTATATATATATTCAAACTGGAAAGGGAAATTTAGTAATTTGAAAAGGGATTGCATTAATTGCATGTCTCCTTAAAAACTTCTTTATCTCTTAAATGGACACTTATTTTGGGTTGGTGGGAGTAGTAAATAGTCATGTATGCAATAGAAAGGATTTTTACATTAATGTATTAAATAAACTAAGTTCGTGATAGGCTAATTCCCATCAATTAGGATTAATGCTTATACCAGATGACGAGGAAATTCACAAAAACCAAAATCCTAAATACTTCACCCAAATGATAAACAAGAAGACCGGAAAGGAAACTCAAATGAATACTAACAAGCAAAGCGCAGTAAAACTTGTCAACTAATCAACTTAAATGGGAAATAATTGTACCATATATACAGGGTTATCACTTATCTATCTAATTCCTTATATGAGTTTTAAATCAAAGGAACTTCCGTTAACAATGATTGAAATTAGAACCAATTTGCAGAATGGAAACATACACACATACAGTGGAATAGATGTTTTGCAAGGGTGTCACTGGACATGTACTCAGCAACTAGGAGCCTCTCATCGCCGTCGCAACAATAACCAATCAAATTAGCCAGCCTTTTATGTCTCAACTTCCCAACGCCCCATGCTTCCTCCTAACAAATCAGAACAATAAAACAACATTCATAAGCATCAAACCCTAATTTCAAAAAACCCTCAAATCAAAAACAAATACAAAAACAGGAACAAAAAAATTTCACAAATCAGTACCGCGAACTGTTTGGGATCGGGCCAGGCCATTTTGGTAAATTTCTTGACTGCGATCCACCGTCGGTTCTGTAATCGGCCCTTGTACACGACATTTGGGGCTCTCTCACCACTCTCCGAGACTATGAACTCCGAACTGAAGTTGTCGGTGGCCGCCTTAAGCTCAGACAGCGAGAACTCAGAGAAGGCCGGGACGCCACCGTCGCCGTCACCTGCGGCGGCGCTGCCGTTGGACAGATGAGGACGATTTTTGGTGTGGTGTTGGTTCTTGTCCAATTGAGGTTCATTCGAGAAGAACGATTGGCAACAGCCCATCACTCTAGCTGTGTTGACTCAGTATTCCCTCACGCCACTGCTGCTAATGAGCAATATATATACATATATACATACATATACAAATATATATACTATACGTATCTAGTGAAAGATGAGGATGAAATTAGGTTGGTGCTGCTTCCTTTTTCTTCTCATTTGGGTTCCTCTCACCTTTCTGCACTGACAGTCTCCATCAACATTCTTGAACAGTTGTACGGGACTCAGTTGTCCTTTTGATTTCAAGATTAAGGGTATTTTTGTCTTTAAATACAATTAATTTCTAGTTCAATATATCGCGATATATTGGTCTTTGATCGTGGAAATTAAGTCCATCACGTCCGTTCAAACGCGTCTAAATTTATGCAAATAAAATTACATTTAAAACCACAAAGCTACACATGCTAATAATGGGACAAGCTAGCTAGTTGTTTATAAAAGGAAACTTGTCTACTGTCGGATCGAGATGAAAAGTTAAATGAATTGAGTGGTTAGACAAGACGAGAAAAGAAAAGAAATAACAAGCGTTTAACCGAAGCTCATGTAAGGTTGAAAGATGACAAATGTATTTCACTTACGAGATTGTTTGAGTTAATATGAAATTGACATCATATCGATAAATTTGTCTGAGAGTGATATTTCACTCATGAGATTGTTTGAATTAGATGTGAGATTGACACCACATTAGTAAATTCAAACATAAATTTTAAAGTTTGACTGTGGATGTGTTTTACATTCCATGAAAATAGTTTGAGTTAGATATAGGATTGGCTCCATATCGGTAAACCTTCAGCGAACAAAAATGTTACAATTATGGAGAGATAACAAATGAGAGATAGGAAGGAATAACTATCCTCTATTTTCTCTCAATTTAATAGTATTTTGAGGACACCAAAACTAACCTTCATAAATAAATGTATGGATTTGTTGTTTCATTCAAGTCCTAATTATGTAACATTGTGTGTACTACTAGGGCAACAAATAAGACATTTTTTCTCCTACTATTGAGTTCAATAAATTATTTGTTAATGGTCTAACTCGGCTCATTCAAACAATAAAAAAAAAGCATGGACACATTCAAGAAACTTTTTATTTAGCTGGGCACATTCAAGAAAATTTTTGTAGGTGGTGGTATCAATTACCTGGGCACATTCAAAAAAAAAAAAAAAATGCCATTTAATATGGCACATTCAAACAATAATCCAGATTTAGTATTCTTTGATTGAACTTAAAAGAAAAAGGACTTATAGAAACAACTTACAAATATAAAAATGTATGATAATAATTTGGTTATTATCATTTTTTTTTATTTTCTCTCATCTATCTTACCCAAACAATATTGACTATCATTTCTATTCTTTTCTCTGCTATTTATCCAAACATGAATAGAAATTATTACTATCATTTTTTCTTTTCTTTTCTTTTCTTTTTTTTTTTTTTTTTTAACTAATACTATCATTTCTTTCTTTTCTCTCCTATATATCCAAACGCACCACTTTTTGATCGAATCGCGAAGCACCCACCCGTTACAGTTGGTATTAGAGCAATACACAATCCTTGATCTAGTGTCACGCCAAGCACTCGTCTCGAAATGTGTTCAACTGTGCCATCCAGGTAAGCAAGGTTGCCTGGCCGCAATAAGGGTGTTGCGAGTTTAGGTGGGGGAGAATGTTACAAACTTACAAGGAGAGATTGGTTTCATATCAAATCCCGATGGGAATTGAAATGAGTATAAATGGGTTGGGTGTTAGTTCTACATAATAGTTTAAGCTTTTGGATTAAATCACAAAGCACCCACCTGTTACAGTAGTCCAGTTGGTAGACACACTCCTCGGAGTCTAAGTTTGACTCACTAAATAAGATCGGTGTTAATCTCATTTTTTAGATAAACTATTGTAGTTAGAATAATTGCGAGGTTCAAAATAACTTGTTGGAGTGCACTGTTTAATCGGGTGTGTAAGTGTATTTCTTACGAAGTTTGTTTTTTTAAAGAAAAAAAAAAAACAAAAGTGAAGTCAATACTTGATTCTTCTAACATTATATAACCTTTGGTACACAATTCTTCCCGATAAAATTTGAATTTGTATAATCACCTTACAATTCACCCATATCATTTAAATATAAAAACTCAGTCAATTTTAAATGACCTGAAAAAATTGTTTATTATTATTATTTCGTTTCATTTCATTTAATAAAAATTACAAGAGCTCCAAACCAATGATGTAATGCCAAAGTGAGGTGTGTCATACATGCTTGGTTCATGACAAAATTGAGAACATGGCTCATAAATTCAACAAATTATGGGAATACGTGTGTAACGTGTCAATGTCTTCAATATGACTCATAAAATGGAGATTCATGTGACTATTGCCTTGGCATTCAAAAGTATTCCCGCGTTACCTTTTTCTTTTTATCGAGTGGTATTTGAGAAGTAGAACGAGAAAACGCTTTCCCATTTCAATTAATCGCGAGAGCTCGATTCAGTATTTATTATTATTGACTTATTATTATGTGTGTGTGTGTATATACACACACTTGCGCATTTACTTTCTTTCTGTTCATATACGCAAACGAGTAAAGGACATGAGACGTGTTTGTTTATTTTAGTTAAGGTACCTGACCTTTCAGTTTTCAATTAAAGTCGCTGTCGGCGATTGAGAGCAACCCAAACAAAAGAGTTGACATTCAGCACAAACCCTCAACACTGCACGCCATTTTTTTGGAGGAATCCAATTTTGCTACACGTTTGTGTAATCATCCACAGAATCAAAGTTAGCTAAGACCGTTATATTGAAAATATTATATATTTTTAATTGAAGATGCAATAATAAGGAAAGTATATTTTATTTTTAATTTAATATTATTATTCAGCACAAACCCTCGACACTACATGCCATTTTTTGGAGGAATCCAATTTTGCTACACGTTTGTGTAATCATCCACAGAATCAAAGTTAGCTAAGACCGTTATATTGAAAATATTATATATTGTTAATTGAAGATGCAATAATAAGGAAAATATATTTTATTTTTAATTTAATATTATTATTATAGTATAGTATGTTGTAGGAGTACTGCTGTATCTTTAATATTACATAAATGTTTATGTTATTATTATATAAATTTAACATTTTTTAATATAAAGCATATTCTTGTAATAATGCAATATATATATATATATATATATATATATATAAAGCATATTGAATAATAGTCATTCAATTTCGGGAAGCCTCTGGAATAGCGCAAGCTAAATTAAAGATGATAGTAAACAACCGCCAGATTGTCTGAGTGTATGTATTTTCATTCAGGCCCATATATATATATATATATATATATATATATGGATAGGTGGTTTGGGAGTAGTTATTGAATACTCCTGGAATATAATACTTGGGATAGTGAGGGCCATTGGATTATAGATGTGGTGGGGCCCACCACCACATCTAAGGGTTGGTATGCCCCGGGGGTATGTACCCCCGGGTATTCAATAATTTTCCTGTGGTTTGGACCCTCCAGGCCTTGTTATTTGGTTATATTGTATTTATGGGCTACTAGACACAGAAAAACAGGCCCATTCGGATGAGTCAGACTGAAAGAAGTCAGACCTGTCCAAAACTGCAACGCCCATAAATTTAAATGCAGTGGAAATGAGGTGGCAGACATCTTGATGCAAATAAAATATTTGATGGGTTAAAATAAAGGAGAAATTATACAATTCCGGGACCACGTACCTCCGGTCAACAGGTATTCATAAAAATTATTTATCTTGATTATATAAAATGTAAAGTTTTCAAGAGAAATAATGACTATCGATTCATTGGGCGGGTACCAGGCATATAGTCTCAAGAAAATAAACCATAGACATTTTAGGATTAAATGATGAACAATGAAGATTTGGCTAAATAACTTTTCATATGTATTATCAATAACAGAGTATGATATATATATACAATACAGTATTTTAATTAATCTTATTTCTAAAACTTACAAGCCGTAATCCCACTTTTAGTGAAATTTGATATACTCTAATAAGGAAAGTAAATATATTACAATAGAGTAAATATATTACAATAATATTTCTTAATATATAGTAAGTACTGTGGATATTATATTAGGGTTTTTTTGGTTAATTACTCAAAAAATAGAAAATTATTCATACAATTAAAAAAAAAAACCAAATGTAGACACTAAAATTTAGTGGGCTTTGGTTTTAACGAATAGACCCATTAAATATAGGCCTAATGTTTAAATAAATTATTTTACCAGGCTTGGTCCACTTAAATTATTTAATTAGCCCAGCTCAGATAATTAAATGAAACGATAATTAATCATAATAAAATATATTTTGAATAATTATCTTTAAAGATAATTATCACAATATAACCGGCCCGGCCCAGTTATAGTTTTTTTTCATATCAGGAGATGACACGTGTCATCATCCTATTAATCCAAGAAGCCTATAAATAGAGGCTTGGAGGAAGAAAAAGGGGAGAGGATTCAGAATTCAGAAGTCTACAAATTCAAACACAAATTCAGAATTCAGAAGTTCAGAGACTCAGAAATCCAGAGACTCAGAATTCAGACACAAATTCATAATCGAAACCCAAAAGTGAAGAACATCAAGCACATCCAACAACGTGCCGTTCTTCATCAAATTCCACAGTGATTCAAGAACAAGCTCGTGCAGCCCTTGGATCCAATCAACCAAAAATAAGGAGATCGAATCAGAGGACCATTCTTTTTTTGTAAAAGATATTACAAAGGACTGTACTCCATATTCATAAATTAATAAAATTCTATTTGCTCCATATTTTGTTTCTATTACAGACTTACAAAATTTGTGTGTACAAATTTGTGGCATGCCCGGTGGGACCACCTTTGCCTCTCATCTCTTTCTCCTACCATCAAGTTTCTTCTCTATCAGATTCTATGGCTCCCCCTAAGATTTAGACAGACAAGAAAGCCCAAAAGAACATCGCTATTGCAAAGGTCGACGCTAAAGCCACCATGAAAAGTGGCACGAAGACCAAATTAAGCGATGGAAGTACCTTGACGGGCCCTGTGACACGTAGCAAGTCTCAGGCGATGGCGTCATTCAAACTTCAGCAAGATGTGGTGAAAACTAATCCTGCAACACCGGCGAACGTGAAAACTCAACATGTCAAAAACCTTGACATTGTTCCAAAGGAGGCT